AGAGTTTGACAACCCATATCATTGCCCGGGTCAGAGTGTAAATGAAGCTCCGGTGTGGATCGCTCCTCTTGAACGGCGGCCTGGAATAATGGAAGTTTTGTGGAGCACTGAAGATTAATGTTGAGAGACAACGCATCATTTCCACATTCTCTCATTCTGTGAGGCCTATTTAAAAGTGAAAGCATGCAGACAAAATCATTCCCTTCATTCCTATAAAAGATTGAGAACAGAAAAAGTCTGTACTGCAAATGATGTAAAAAGAAAGGGGTAGTGCAAATGCTGAAAGTGAATGTGCAAAATGTGTTGCAACATCCTTGGCGGTGCCATTTTCAACGAAATGTGTATAGAATGGTAATGTTTAGTAGTTGCGGAGTTATTTCCCTCTATCAGAACAGATTTCTCCCCACCTCTAAAGGACTATTTTAAGTGTGACTATCAAAGGGTTCTCCAGCTCCCTTCGCTTTGCCTAGTGCCGACAGCAGATATTTCTCTCTCTATTTTTTTTAAAGGCAACCTATTTCAGGGACTCAGTTTGACTGGATAATGGCCCTGCGTGCAGTCTGGAATTTCTGAGCGTTTTGGAGTTTTGTCATTATCGATCGGGCTGTTTTGAGTTTGATGGCGTTGTCTGTTAAAGGGATAGTTAAATTTGATGGTACATAGAGACAATGGCTTCTCTTTTATGAATTTGAGCCAACCAAGTCATCACCCTTAATGACCTTTTTTAGCAGCAACAGTCAAACTGTGAGCTTGTACATCCCTCCCTGAGAGAGTTCTGTGTCTGTGTAGAGAGTGATGTGAGTCCAACTGGCACAGAACACTGGCTAATAATAATCATTGCAGCAGAGTTTAGTGTGCTTTGAAAGTCTGGGATATTTGTGGTTTTATTTAAAGAAAATACTTGTTTTCTGCAAGATGCATTAAATTGATCAAAAGTGACAGTAAACACTTTTACGTTGTTACAATAAATAAATAAATAAATAAATAAAACGCTGTTCTTTTGAAATTTCTTTCATCAAAGAATTCAGAAAATGCATTTCCATGGTTGCCATCACAGGAATAAAGTACATTTTGAAATATATTAAGGTAGAAAACAGTTTAAATTGTATTAATAGTCATTTTGCTGTGTGTGGTCCTGGTAAACCCTACGTTTTGGGGACCAATTATAATATATATATATATATATATATATATATATATATATATATATATATATATATATATATATATATATATATATATATATCAATCAATTGTGAGATAAAAAGTCGCAATTATGTTTTAAATTGTTTTGTTCTGTGGCGGAAACAAGCTTCCATAATAAGCTGTTTTTTTCTACTAGGGGTGGAACGGTACATGTATTCGTATTGAACCGAAACGTTGCGGGCGTCACGGTTCGGTGCACGAATTTGCACGGAGAATACACGGTACAAAAAAAAAAAAACTCTTAAATAGCGATAAATTTCGCTCTATTCGCTTTTGGTGTGACTGTGAACGCAGCAATGAACAGGCTGCGATCAAGATTGCAATGCTGGAGTGTGTGTGTGTGTGTGCGCGAGAGAGAGAGAGAGGGGCGCGATTAACAGTGTGTGTGTGCGCGCGCGTGCGAGAGAGAGAGAGAGGCGCGGGCGCGAATCGCGCGATCGAACTGTGTGTGTGTTTGTGACGTGTGTGTGCGCGCGCGCGTGCGAGAGAGAGAGAGAGAGAGAGAGAGAGAGAGAGAGAGAGAGAGAGAGAGAGAGAGAGAGAGAGAGAGAGAGAGAGAGAGAGAGAGAGAGAGAGAGAGAGAGAGAGAGAGAGAGAGAGAGAGAGAGAGAGAGAGAGATCGAACTGTGTGCGTGTGTGTGTGAGAGAGGCACGGGCGATCAAACAGTGGAAACATAAAAACATACTCCGTCATTTTTTTTCATACAGGACATCATTAAAACTGCAAATTGTTTACTTATATTTGTGTACACTCGCAATAAAACACAACATTGTGCTTTTGTCACACTCTAAACTCTTATCAAACTGTAACCTACAACTGTTGACAAAAGTTTTTAGTGGTAGTATTATTTTATACGGAAATCAATTATTTATAATTCAGATGAGAATAAACTTAGGGTTAATTAAAATGAAGGAAACAAATATATTGATCTGAAATAGCAAATTAATTTTAAATTCATTCAGGTACAATTACCAAACATATCTCAAGGTCTTTTCGTCTTTTTAATAATTTAATTAATAAACTAATTATATAAAACTACTGTCAGTGCACTACAAATAAACTGGTTATATGCCTTTATTAATAAAACTTGTTTAAAAAATACAAGGCTTAAGACATTTATATAAAAAGCCTTCTATATTTGTGTTTTGCTATTCACTCCATTGTACCGAAATCGTACCGAACCGTGACGTCTGAACCGAGGTATGAACCGAACCGTGACTTTTGTGTACCGTTCCACCCCTAATATATACACTCACCGGCCACTTTATTAGGTACCCCATGCTAGTAACGGCTTGGACCCCCTTTTGCCTTCAGAACTGCCTCAATTCTTCGTGGCATAGATTCAACAAGGTGCTGGAAGCATTCCTCAGGGAGTTTGGTCCATATTGACTTGATGGCATCACCCAGTTGCCGCAGATTTGTCGGCTGCACATCCATGATGCGAATCTCCCGTTCCACCACATCCCAAAGATGCTCTATTGGGTTGAGATCTGGTGACTGTGGAGGCCATTTTAGTACAGTGAACTCATTGTCATGTTCAAGAAACCAATTTGAAATGATTAGAGCTTTGTGACATGGTGGAAGTAGCCATCAGAGGATGGGTACATGATGGCCATAAAGGGATGGACATGGTCAGAAACAATGCTCAGGTAGGCCGTGGCATTTAAACGATGCCCAATTGGCACTAAGGGGCCTAAAGTGTGCCAGGAAAACATCCCCCACACCATTACACCACCACCACCAGCCTGCACAGTGGTAACAAGGCATGATGGTTCCATGTTCTCATTCTGTTTACGCCAAATTCTGACTCTAACATCTGAATGTCTCAACAGAAATCGAGACTCATCAGACCAGGCAACATTTTTCCAGTCTTCAACTGTTCAATTTTGGTGAGCTCTTGCAAATTGTAGCCTCTTTTTCCTATTTGTAGGGGAGATGAGTGGTACCCGGTGGAGTCTTCTGCTGTTGTTGCCCATCCGCCTCAAGGTTGTGCGTGTTGTGGCTTCACAAATGCTTTGCTGCATACCTCGGTTGTAACGAGTGGTTATTTCAGTCACTGTTGCCCTTCTATCAGCTCGAACCAGTCTGGCCATTCTCCTCTGACCTCTGGCATCAACAAGGCATTTCCGCCCACAGAACTGCCGCTCACTGGATGTTTTTTCTTTTTCGGACCATTCTCTGTAAACCCTAGAGATGGTTGTGCGTGAAAATCCCAGTAGATTAGCAGTTTCTGAAATACTCAGACCAGCCCTTCTGGCACCAACAATCATGCCACGTTCAAAGTCACTCAAATCAACTTTCTTCCCCATACTGATGCTTGGTTTGAACTGCAGGAGATTGTCTTGACCATGTCTACATGCCTAAATGCACTGAGTTGCCGCCATGTGATTGGCTGCTTAGAAATTAAGTGTTAACGAGCAGTTGGACAGGTGTACCTAATAAAGTGGCCGGTGAGTGTATATATATGTGTGTGTGTGTGTGTGTGTGTGTGTAAACGGGATGTAAACTCACAATTGTGAGATAAAGATATTCTACACATTTTTTTTTTTTTTTTTGCATGTATTCATAATTTCTTTTTACTGGCCACTGCTGTATTTATATTTTTTAATGAGCTGAATAACTGGGAATCTTCTAAGATGTTAATGGACAATAAAGTTAGAAATGTTCAAAAGCTCTTTAGCCAATAGAGCTGCAACTAACGATTATTTTGATAATCAATTAATCTTTTTAATGTTTTGTTGATATTAATATTGATTAATCTGATGACAACAAAAAGTATGATTTAAAAAATAACAATTTTACTTTACTTTCCTAATTCACAAAATTGTTCCACATCCTTCCCAATGTTGTCCACCGCATCTCCAAACATGTGCAATTTGAAGGCAATGAAAACAAATATAGTCAATATCTGTGTAGGCTATATGCAATAAAAACATCATGTGTAAAAAAGGGGTTCCAATTTAAACTGATTGCTTATTTGGAAGTAGAAGTTAAAATCACTAAAATAATCATGATAATAAAGAACAACAAAAGCACAAACTAGTAAGAGGTACAGGAACACAAACTCATGTGAACATAATTACATTTATACTTTATTAATTTACAATAGTCTCTTACTGTTACTGCTGTCATAAAAATGTCTGTTGGGGAGCATCAAAATAAAGTGTTAGCAGATATTAAGAACGCAGTCTACTAATACTCTAATGAGAGTTAGTATCAAGTTACTTAAAGTTAGTAGAATGTCTACAGTGTACCATCGAAATAAAGTGTTACCCAAAATGCTATTGCGCTCCTATTTATTGCACTCCATTTGTCTGATGTGCTGAAGTCTATGAAGTTTAACGGAGAACCACTTGTCGTCAGTACAAGCCTGTTTGCAAAATGAAATTATATGCGTGACTGTCTAGCATTTAAAGATAATGCAAGTTATTCACTGAGGAAAACCGCACACAAACACATTTGTCAAAGCACATGACAGGGCAAGCAACATTACACTATTTGCTTCTGTTTGTTTTGTCATTCGCATTTTTAGGACAACTTGGTTTTTGCTCTTTTCCTCCACTATTTTCCAGATGTGTTTTTTCCATAGAAATGTTTTATTCACTTCTTGACGTGAATGGATGTTTTCCATGCATAATAATCAAAATCATTGCCAATTATTTTCAATGTCAATTTTATCAATTAGTTACTGCAGCCCTAGTATAGCCAAGAATTGAAGGTGTCAACACAGAAATTAAATGTAAAAATAAACTAATTCCATTTCTATCTGTGTGTGTTTCTCATGTCTCTACAGTAACAGACATGGCGTACAGGAAAGTGCGTGCTGGCCACGGTTCTCTCCGTGTGCGGGATCTGGAGAGTGTGGAGCTTCACACAGCTTCCCTGGAACTGGAATGGGACATGGAGAAGGAGCTGGAGGAACCGGGCCTGGACCGCTTCCAGCTGGAGTGTGTGGAGCATCAACCTGTGAGCAGCTCTTCTGGCGGGGGCATGGACCCAGACCTGGAACCAATTCAACCCTCCGTTTCCCCTCACGGACGTTTTGAGCGTCTCCAGGAGGACCCTAATTACGTCTCTCGTTTCAGCCGAGCGGTACCCAAGGGCCAGAGATGGAATGGGACCTGCCTGGCTAAATACCTGCTAGCAGGGCTGGGTGTGTTTGCTCTGGGGCTGCTCATTGGACGATATGCCTTCAGCAGGGAGCAAGTGAAGGTAGAGCCAAGTGCAGACACAGATGTGCTGGAGAAGATTGTTCAGGGAATCACAGCAGAGAAAATACAAGCGGTGCAGAGGTAAATGTTTCGTACTTTCCATCTATTGTACACTCAGTTTTTTTTTTTTCAGAATCAAAGTGGAAAAATGCAGTGGATCTTTTACAGTAATAAATAAATAATAATGAAAAATAGGTTTTGCAGAAGGAATATAGGAAAGGATTTGCACCATTTTGCTCCGCAACAACAGACAACAGATTTTTCCATTGTCAACAACATAATATATGTACATATATAGTTAACATATATACATATATTTAATTTGCCTACCAATATCTATCAGTGGATACAGCATACTTGCTTTATAGGAAAATTCTGTCATTTTATTATTATTATTATAATTATTATTATTATGTTGGTAATCTGAAACAAAAAAGTAGACCAGCAATAATGTAAAAAAATAAACAAATTAATTAGTACTAATTAAGACTAATTTAAATCAAAATCATAATAACAGACACAATTAGACACAGTTAGACAGACACAATTTGGTCATAATTAGTGTTTTTCACAAAATATTACATTAAACATTTTAAGTTTTTAAATATATTTGTTTAATGCACCTCTAGCCGTGGGTTATCCATACAATATATATATATATATATATATATATATATATATATATATATATATATATATATATATGTGTATGTACAGGATAATCCACGGCTATTGAATTATACACATGTACAAGCCATACACACAATACTTGCGCATTATTGGCTGATAAGAGAAGGTAAGGTGAAGAATAACACAGAAACTTCAAGGGCGTTCCAGCCAGTGAGGAGAAGTGAACCATACTGAGGAAGCAGATGCAGGGACAGTGTTTCAGTGGGACAGGCTCTTCGGGACCTTCATCTTTTAAAAAAAGCAGTCCTGCAGCCAAAGTTGTGCACAGCTTATTCCCACTAGTGACAAAGCTGCCTTGTTCACTCTGAGCCCAGCTGTGTAGTCTCTGACAGGCAGACTAAAGTCACGAGCAGGTACTGATGTTAAAATTAAATGCAGACAAACCTCAAGCGATAACACATTGTTTTTGGTGCACGGATCATGGCGAGCATGTATATTCGTGTCAAAAAAGATAACTCGGTTTCCTCTGAACCAAAACCGCCTGACTCCTGAAACAGGCTTTGCGGTAGTGTCAATTTATAATTTATTTTGTCACATTTATATTTCAGACTGCAGCGCCAACAGCTCATCTCAGATCCTTTTTCGAGCGGGGAAGAGCAGGCGATATTACAATGCGGCGAGGCTGCAAAGGCGAGAAGTCTAAACATTTTGATGGCTTTATTTACCCCACATTCATGCAGCCTTTTAATATTCACACTGCACCTTGAAGAAATAAGAATATGTGTGAGGATAATGTAATTATTTACTATTTATATGAAGCTGAAATTGTTTCAATGGACTGTGGAAAATGGTTGCCCTATAGGAGAAAGCTCTGTGGCGTGCAGAGATTAAAGAAGATCGTTGAATTATACTCCAAATCTCACTGTAAATCTCTTTGTCCCTGGTGTTAAGCTGAGGTCTCTCTTCAGCCTGCCTGAAACGGAGCCCTGGGAAAGCTTTTGAAGATCTTTGCTAACTGCTTCAATACACATTCTAATAAGCTTGTTGGAAAAAAAATTCAGGACACGTCAACCACTGTCTGTGCAGATTCTCGCTAACCATGTCTGAAGTGAAAATCTCAAGACAAAAGCATTTTTGTGTGCAACATTCATTTGTGACAAAAATTTTCCTTCATTTTTCATAAAAGTTGTCATTGTCCATATCTCACACACAACTATTAAATAGTAGTATCACATTATTATTTTTACAGAAAAGGCTTAAGTCTAGTCCCAGGCTAAAATGCACGTCGAGCTGTTTTAACTGAAAGCATAAAAAGCATCTTAAAATATGTCAGTGCCATTGTTTTATTTCAAGATGCACACCAGTAATGTTTTTTTCTAAGACATGTATATGAAACCAGGCCAATACTGTATGTCATTTAAAAATACGAAACAAAATATTTTCATATATATATATATATATATATATATATATATATATATATATATATATATATATGTGTGTGTATTTATTTTATTTTATTTTATTTATTTTTTTAAATATGAATATGTATTTTATTTAGTTCATTAGAAAACATCTGAGCACTTTAACCAGCATCTGTATAAATGCACTCTAACATGTCTAATGTGACAAAATATATATATATATATATATATATATTTTTTTTTACAAAAAATCTGAATATTATATTAATATAATATTATAGTTTATAGGGGTGTAACGATACTTTAAAAATCACGGTTCGGTACGTACCTCGGTTTTAAAGTCACGGTTCGGTACATTTTCGATACAGCAAAAAGTAAGAAATGCCAGAGAAATTTCCTATTTGTTAAAAGAAAAAATATTTTTTTTAATAAGTGTGAGTTTTCCTACATCTTGAAACTTTCAGGTTTATAAATGGGTGTCATCTTTGAAGGATGAACAAATAATGTTTGGTCATCACATTAAAAATAACATTTAAATATATGAAGATTACCTATTAATTGTCATTTGAGTGAATTTACGGAACTTAAATATACAAGCTTCATAAAAATGATCATTCTAGAAGAAAATTTCAAATGGCACTTAGAGGCTTTTGCATCTGAACTCTTCATATATTTATTTATATAATATTTGAGTTTTGAAGTGCTGGAAAAAGATGTGGGAAGTACTTGAAAGCATTTCACTATTCCAGCCAAACTGGTTACATTTTAGTGTTACTATATTAAATCCATGGTGAATGTTGCTGGTCTGTGGACATAAAGTATTACTAGTTCATTCACGGCACAATATTTCTCCTGGTTTCCACGTCAGCGCTGTTTGATCTAATAGAGATCTACGGTTAATAACGGAGAAATGTGAATGCTTCTCACTAGATCTCGCAGCGATGTTATTACTTCAGTGGCGAATTCAAATGTTTTCTTTACTGGATCTAAGCGCTGTGTTGTAACAGTGTCGCTTGATCGAGATCGGCTCGCGCTGCACAGATGTTGCTGGTCAAACGATCCGTGAAGCACAATATAATGAGTAGCGCAGTTTCGTTCCGCTTTCATTACACTTGCCATTTGATGCTGCGCAACGTTGTGGTGGTCGTGCCAGTGCGAATTTTGTCGGCAGGAAAAATGGTCCAAGGAATCGTTCGGTTTGTATGCGTACCGAATAGAGTGCGGATCGGGCCGCATTTTTCTGTCCGAGCCCGGCCCGCGTCCGACAGGGCAGTAACCGAACCCGACCTGAGCCCGACAGGCATTAAGATATTTATGTCCGACCCGAGCCCGACACAGTTAAAAATCTATTTTTTTTTTGTCATACTAATGACACGTACGTTTGTTTGTGTAGAAAGCCCGGTTTTATTTAGCAACTGGAAGGCATTCGGAAATGTTTACAGATGTGCGCAACGCATCAGTGTGCGCCGCACACGGCCAACAAAGCGTAACACAGGCGCGCACAAGAGGCCCAAACAAATAGCCAATTGAAATTAAATGAACAAAGCTAGGTCTACCAAAAATTGCCCAAGCTAACAGAACAAAACATTAACGTAACACAAATGCAGCCTATTGAAATGAAAATCACTCTTACCATTTTTCTCGAAAACATTTCAAATAAAATGGTAACATGGGATCTATTCACGTAATCCATCCTTCAATGTTTAGGCTGGTTTTAAAATCTCCTGAGGCCAACTTCTTTTTAACGTCTTCCATCGTTGCGCTGCCAGCCACATGTAGCCAAATATGCAATATTATGCACGCACGTGTTGCGCGTTGTCACAGCAACATAAACAAATTTCCGCACAGATGAAGATGGATGTTAGGGTAATATTTTTAATTTATTTTAATCACAAAAACAAACATTTGCATCCAGTTAAACACTATAATAAGCTGTTTTAAATTTCAAATGTTCAATGCCTTATTGCGCCGACGTGACCGAGCCCGACCCGAACCCGAACGTCATTTCAAAATATGTGTCCGAACCCGGCCCGGCCCGTCGGGTACCGTTGGGTCCCGTCGAGCTCGGTTCGGGTATCCATCCTCTAGTACCGAACCGGAAGCCTCGAAGCCTCGGTTCAATACGAATACATGTGCCGTTACACCCCTAATAGTTTATCAATTGTCAGATAATTAAACTGACAATTATGTGCGGTAAATTTGTGTACATTCCGTCTGCAAATCAACACCACCGACAATTGCGTCAACATTTTTCATTCTCAAGATAGAACAATTTTTTTATTGTGTGACAAAAGTATGAATGATTACATGTTTTCAGCCGCATAATGATTGCATGTAAAATGGGAATGTAATATTTCTGACATACATTTGTTAACACTTTAGCCTGCAGTTGCATATCCTAAGTTTCAGCCACGCTATAGTCTTTTTGATGTGCCACCCTATGATTTTTAATTATTGTCCCCATCTGGCCGCCCCATAAAACATTTCCTTGAGGTGCCACTGAGAGACACACTAACTTGTATAGCCATTGTGCTGGGACTGAAAATCAGCCCTTTTAAGTCACATTCAATTATGGTGAAGCAGAAATTCTGTACTCATGCCATTTGTTTTTCCATAAAATATGCTCTGCCAAAGCCTCCATTTTCTTTTGGCTTGTGACCGTGTTTATTTCTTCGATTCTGGCCTAATTTACACATCAAAGGTGAGTGCGGGGGAAGAACAGTTCCAGTAAAACGAGATTAGCCTAAAATCCCATGAAGAAGAAGTGTGTTTCCCACTGTTTGGGTCTCTTTAATGGTGCTCTTTATCTCCTTTTGACACTCACTCTTAATTGCTGGACGTAATTGATAGAGCCGGCCTCTGGATACGCATTCTTATCCAGGACTGCTTAGATCTAGGGTCCTAGAGGTAGGTCAGATTTAGGAGCGTGCCATTGAGGGAGTCCAGCTGAGTCTCTGTGAAGACTGTGATGCCGCCTTCATCTTGGGTCAGGTTCATCATTTTAATCCCAACCCCAGTCATTAGGGA